CAAAGGTATGTCAAGTTATATTTCCGATAGACTCTCCTGTGATGGAAACACAGATATAAAACCAAAAATTATCTGCGAGACAGCAGTAGGCTTTTTATTAGTAGTTATTAGTATTCACCAAAATATCAACTTGATCTATCGATCGAATTTGTATTCCCACATAATTTTAAAAATGTAATATTGAACAAAATTTCTTATTTAAAATAGCAACACGAAAATTTCTTGCTCATTATTTTTGTTATAAGTCTCCTTTCCGAAAGAGTGGTAGTATAAACAATGTTATTATTATTATTTGAGTATAAATATATAAAATATATGCATAGGTACACCACGTACTAATAATCATAACTGTACTAAATATATTTCAATATATATTACGTACATATATATATATATATGTATATAAAACGCCAGTACTAGCAAATAAGTAGGTAGTAATAAGTCCTAATATAAATATAAGTAATATAAATGAATTAGCTGTCAAAAGCTAATTGTAATAAACCAGTAGATCAAATGATGGCGCTCATTACACAATTAACTCAGTTATTTACAAACAGTTGTTATTTAATACGGTCCCCTTAGTTACCAAGATTTATAGCCTCTCCTATTACAGCACACACGCGATAATACACCTTAATGCGACGGATTACAGCTCAACTCGTATACTAATTAGTCAAATCATTAACCAATTTGCGTTGACCTTTGGTTAGCAACAAAAAGTAGCGTGGCGAGGTATCAATTTAAATTATACATACGATGCTAGATGGAAATTTATAGATGTTGCCACTAAAATTTGTACTAATTTGTTTTATTTAGAGAATTTATTTGTGTGTGTGTTTGTAATGTTAATTAAATTGTTTAGTGCACGTCGATTCATTGTTGACTTAATCGTTTTGTAGTTTAGATTAAATCTGCGTTAATTAAATAAACTTGATAATATATGATATAGTAATCATTTTTTTTCATAAAATATTGGTACTTATTTATACAATATTAAATCCAAATAGTTTGTTGGTTTGGTCGCCCTAACCTCTGTAAATACCAGCCGTAGTTAAAATATTATTTTTGCAATTAATACAGAAATAAAATATCAGTATTATATCGTTATTTAATATCACGATAAAAATTTCAAGAATATATAGCAAGAAAAAGAATATATATATGTATATGAGCAGTAAATCAGAAGGAACGCTATTCGAGAGTAATTACGAGGGATAAAGCTAGTGTTTTATATTTTAAAATATACATGTACTCTTATAATTACATAAGTGGGCAAATATCATAAAACCGTATACGTTATTGTCTGAGTCTCAATAGTTAGATGAAAACAAAACTAAAACAAGATGGCCTCGAAACGGCGGGAAAGCCGTTAGAAATCAAGACATATTTGGGAAACTCTTGCAACGGATACTCGACCTTCAGAGAGGAAGAGCAGCGTCGGAAGTCGATAATTTTACCGCCAATATCCTTGCTTAGCGCGGAATTTAAAAAGAAGTGTCTATAGGATTTCCGATGTTTCGTTTGCACGTCCAAAGAATGTATTTTTTTTGATTGACTTGTTTCGTTTAAGGTTCGATTTCAATCTTCGTTAAAAACGATATTCTTAATTGGTCTTTATTTTTTACGTCTGTAACACAAATTTCTATTTTCACCTATTCCGATCCGATTATAATGATTGTTTTTGTAATTTATTTATTTATATAACTTTAATGTACGTAATACAAAGATAAAAGTAGGTATCTGTCTTGGAGTACATTTTCTCAATCAAAGGTTGTACAGAAAGTAGTTGAAATCGAATGTAGGTTTTATTTCTATTTTATATTTAAGGTTTTAAGTGTAATAAAAGGTAAACTTATTAGGGTTTTTATGATGATAGTTCTGAACTATGTACATACCATGATTTTCGGTCTGACTGCTAATTATCTATGTGTGTTTTTTACACAGACCAACACATATATATAGGCTGAACAATATTTAATTACTTACTACAGCCATTGTTCTACGTCATATTAGAATTAGATAGTGTTGTTTTTTAATAAAAACATATAAACGGTTATGGTCTATTGATTTGATTTATTTTATACCAATTACTTCAGTTGCTTTAATAAAAAATATAATTCCACATACGAGTATTCGTAATGTAACAAGTTCATTTCCTGTACAGTTCAATTATTTTACAATTCTCACATATTAACCGATTCTCTATAGTGTTAAAGGAAATTATTACTTAAATTAATACTAGCTATTTTTAATAGTTATATGTTACATTTTTTCTGTATAATCGAAATGGCAACAAGCTTACCGCCGATCTGATGGTAGGTGGTCACTTTTGCTATACTCATAAACAGCATCAAAGACAAATAAAAAAAAGCATTATGATGCCCGTTACACCACTTAAATATTTCAGAGGACTAAGATGTCATGACTTAAGGGAACACAAATTTTACATTACAAGTTACTTTATGACTGAAACAAATGAGGCAAAAGTACTCACGCAGACGTCTTTGTACAAAGTCTATTTTAGTGATGTATATAAAATATATATTTGAATTACAAGTATGAACTTATAGATTTTAAATCCGAATTAAATAATTCCTTTGCCTAATGTAATTGTTCTATATCTGAATATAATAAAAAATACAATAGCCGCTTTCCCGCTTTTCGAAATTCAAACTCGACATTCAACTTCCAATCGTCATCAATATTTCATAGGCCGAACCGTTAGGTGGTCGTCTAAAAAATTCACAACGGGCTAAATTGTAGTGGTATAAGAGACATAGTTAAATATTTATTGTACAATGTCGTACTATCCTACTAAATATGTCAGGCACTGTTTTGACGTGGACGAAAGGATCGTTTACATGCTACGATTTTGTTTGTGAAAAATTTTTGTATCTAACATTATTTATTTATAGGAATGTAATAAAAGTAGATATACGTAGTAATTTATCTTTTTTTTTTATACTATTTTATCTTTCTAATGCCGAAAACTGTGTTTATTTAAATTATTACAGACTATAGTTGACATCGTAATATTGCTTTTTTAATTATTCTTTATACATTTAAAAATAATTCTAGTATATAATCAAGATTTTATTACATATTCGATTTGTATAGGCTTATGTTATATGTGGAAATATAAAAAATAATATATATCTATCATTTATTTAGTAACCTAATAGTAGACTGCTTAGTTAATGAGCAGATTAGTGGTGTGATAAATATTAATAATAATTGTCTGTATGAAGGAATCAAAATTCTTTAGTACTTGCATACAATACAGAACAATAAAAGTAATGTCACTAAAATACTACCGTGTAAACGCCGCTTTCTTTCACCAAATAAAGTGTCATTAATAAAATACATAGACAAACTTTTTTTTCTTTTTCGACTATAATCAGTTCGCAATATAACAATAAGTTTGACGCCTCCGTAATACTGGCTATTTGTAATTTCCAACGATCATAACACCTCTCACCGATAATGTTAGGTTAGAAAAAATAATTTTAAAAAGAAAAAAAAATGCTAAATAGCTACTTATCATGGCGTAAGTAATTGTTGGGTTAAACTAATAGATAATCGAGTATTGTAGGTGTGGAAATGTTAATATTCATATTAAATGGGCACTTATAAATTGTATGACATATTTTTTTGGTATTTATAAGTAATAGATAGATAGATAAAAATTTTATTTACGTTAAAGGCACACACACACACAAAAGGCACTGTAATAATAAGAACAAAAATAAAACAGATATACACATTACATTAGTGAAGTCAAACAAAATACAATACACAACAATTATACAGATAAAATAAAATGCAATACAGATAACAAAAAACGGTATGAGTAACGTAGTGTGTGTGCATAGCCCATACGTAAAAAGGCAGCACCTCAGTGTATTGTTTGCAGCATACAAGCAGCAAACCACTGATATTCAGGCACTGCCCAGAGACATACGCGAGGACGCGTGTAACAAACCACAGCTGTAATCAGTATTACATTATCATAAATATTAATATATTAAAAAAGAAAAAAAAAAAAAAAACTATATTAAAACAAGAAATAGGTATAACATATAGGCATAAAATATATAGGAAATTATTATCAATTCATATAATAAAATAAATATGAAAAACAAAAGAGAAAATAGAATTATTGCATAAGAGTGTGAAGTGTTTAAAAGGAGTGTTGAGTGTTGAGTGTTGAGTGTTGAGTGTTGAGTGTTGAGTGTTGAGTGTTACCACTATCAAGCAACCAAAACCACTAATCAAATATTGGGGAAAATGAAGAAATATATGTACATTATATGTATAACGGTTACAAAGACAAATCAACGTACGTAATAAGTACTTAGATGTCGATATGTTGGTTCATCATATTTTATAGTTAACTAGCAGACTCGGTTAAGCGTTGCTTTGGCTAAGGTTCTTGAATAAAATAATATTGCGACTATAAATTGAGATTATCTTTCAAGTTGGATCAAATTGCACACAATATGCAAATCAAATTTGCAATCGATTCAGTAGTTTAGGAGTCCATCGCGGACAAACAACATGACACGTAATTTTTATTTATAAAGATTTTTATTTCTATGAAGAATTATGTTTTTTTATATAAGTTATAACCAAAGTTCACTAATAAGTTCTTAGTAACGTAGTGTTAAGTAAAACAAAATAAGTTAAAATCGATAAATAATTTTTTAAGTTGTTTTAATATTTTTTTATCTACGCAACTTTGAGTATAGCATTTTCCCCGTTTTTGCAACATTTATTATTGCAGCTCCGCTCCTATTGGTCGTAGCGTGATATTATACACCCTTATAGCCTTTCTCAATAAATGAAATACAAAAAGTATTTTTTAAATCTGTTCAGTAGTATCAGAGATTATTTCGAACATCTAAACTCACAAACTTTACCTCTTTATAATATTAGTATATATAAATTATTGTAGAATTAACTTCAAATTAATTTATTAAAAAAATCATATGATCACTTACCGTCTTTAGGCGGACTTGCACACTGAGGAGCGTATGAACTTAAATGATACCCATAAGTGTTCTGATGCATAGGAGGGAAGGGATACCCTAACGACCTTGGGCTTGGAAACCCTGACGCTTCATGAGGATTCTGCTGACCCCCAGGACTCCCAAAATGGTGGGGATGCTGATAACCCCCCTTGAAGGGACCATATCCATGCTGCTGCAGCTCTATGAACGCAGACTTTGATGATACATTACTTGGGGTAGAGTTTGCTGAATTGGATATATCGTGGGGAGTCTGCGAGCCCCCTAAATGGTGATGCTGGTGGTCTAACGCGTCCTGGGTGGTCATAGCTGGTTGGGGGGTCGATGGGCCCCCCCCGTCCGAGGACTGGGGAGGCCCGAAGGGATCTGAGAAACTCAGCGTGCTGGGTTTGTTTTTTGGGGATTGAATTCGGGTAATTTTGAGAGATTTACGCTCCTCGTTTGGTATTTCGCCGCTTGTTCAGCCTGAAACAAAAAGAATAACATCATTTTAGTTTATTTTTAAACGGATTATCAAAAAAAAGAGGTTAGTAGGTCGATTGTTTTCTTATTTAGTAGTTTTAATTGTCCTTTATAATGGTATTGAAATCAAAATGCACGTTCGAGCCATGGTATAATTAGTTCTATGGTCTAAAATCTTGTAAATTAAAAAATGTTGTAAGTATATTGTTTGACTTGTCGACAAAAATTTTGCGAAAAAGACAGTATAATTGTGTGTCCAAAGCCCATACATACACAGAAAAAGAAAACAAAAAAAGTAATTATAATAATTTTAATTGATGGCCTATGTCTAGAGGGTGAATATTTGCATCCCTTCTATAACTCGTACCTACATATCATGCACTCAATTAGGTCGTCATTAGATTAGACTATACTTTCCTTATATATCCTATACACAACAGACATATATTTCATCAACATTTCTATTTCATCATCAATCGACGCCATCTTTGTAACAATTCCAAATTCAAACAAAATAGCGGGGCGTAATAGACAAATAACACAGATAAAACAAAAATATTTTCGAACGCACGTCTCCGATGAAGCGTAACGGTTTTTAAAAACTGTTTTTTTAATGCTCAACTCCCACGAGGTCAATGGAGGTTATTCTGGCTTTTCTTAACAATTTAGTTGCGACATGCTCAATTGAACCAATGAAGCGGACACGATAACATACCCCGATACGGCTGTATAAGGAAATTCCTGATGATTTGCCATCTTACTTGATAAAATACTGGTTCCAATCAGAGCAAGGTTAATAGCTGCGAAACGGTGTTTGCTAATGAGGTTCCTCTGCCTGCGTTATGATTATCACTCACAGCATATCTATTTCAATATTTATGGTTTTATTAAAAAAAAGTATTTTTTTTTAAGTTTTCGTAATCGCAGTTAAGCAGCTATAATTATGTATTAAACATGTTTGATTTACTATCGCATTAGATTTTTAATTAAACGTTACATTTTGTAATATAATTAGCATATTAAATAATAATTAACTGTATCATTTTAATATATCAAATTCAGCTAAATTTGTATATAAATAAAATGAGAATAAACCTTAATAATTGCAAATATTATAATAATATAGTAGTGTATACATATTGTACACAAATAGATATAACTTTAAATTTAAAAAAAAATGAGTTGAATGACTACCTATATTCTAAAAAACCTAATTACAAGTACATAGCAGTAATTCTCTAAATACATAAAAATAACTATTGTTGAATGTATGTAAGCAGATCACTATCGATTGCCTGCATCTATTTGATCAATTATTTTTTAACGATTTTCCTGTTTTTTTGAAAATGTCAGAAGTAAGGGTTTGAGAAATTACGGAAGAAAGAAAATCTCTCACATTAACATGTAGTTAGTATGTTCTTAAGTTTCTTACATTGTCTTTCTACTTTAATTGATTAAGTAACTGGTAAGAGCAGGGGAATACACTTTATAGCTGCGCTCTGACTTTTTTATCTGTAAACCAATAACAAAACTAAACAATTAAACTTTACACAAACGTTAAACTTGCAGTTTATCCCGATACATTATTTAAAATGTCACCAAAATCGTTAAAAGCATTTTGTGATGGAGACAAATATTCTGACAATAATTGTTTAGTGTTCCATTTATTTATATATAATCTTTATTGTATCAAATATATGCAATAGTAAATATAAGTTAACTGATACAAAAGGCGATCTTATCACTCGTCTGAAAGAGGTTATCATTCAGACTAGCTATGGGTGGATAGAGAAAATAAAGACAAGAAAAGTATTTCTGGTTCTAATACATTTATAAAGTCTACGAATAACAGTTTTTATCATATATCTTTGATGTACAGACGGTGATCAGTTACATTTTTATGATACATGTGTACAGATTAAAATGTTTATAGCTTATGACAGCTTATGGTGCGTTAACAATAAATATGACCTACTCCATGCATAGCCAATAAAAATAATTGTATATTTTAATGATGTCATTATTATAGTCATTTACGATCATTTATAATAATTCTCTTCATTTTAGAATAATTTCCTATTACGTCCATGAACTTAGCAATAGATATGCAACTGAAAAACGTATATTAAATCATAGTCATAAGTCTTAAGAACAGTTTTATAAATTTACTACTAGACCCGGCTTCACATGAGTGCTATGTTATCACATCATATTACAAATCTTTGAATTTTTCGGCTTTTCTCTACTGTAATATGTTTATAGTATACCTATGAATCCTCCCCTTGAATCACTGCATATATTACTGAAAACTGAATTGAAATCTGTTGGGTAGTATCAAAGATCTAAGCGAACAGACAGCGGAAGTGAATTTATTTTATAATGTAACCTAAAAATTAGAATAACCTAAAAATAAATCTTACAAGTAAATTAAATATAAACACTTTAGGATAGTGGCTTTTTCTACCGCTTAGTTTCTTGGAATGGCAAACAAGCTGACCATCTACCTGTTAGTTAGAGGCTACCGTTACCGTCACCAAGTGACGAATGAAGTTGACACGACGCTTTGTCATTCCCGAGGATTATGAAGCAAATTTCAGTGTACAATAAAATGACAAAATCTTTATAATACTTGGTTTATATTTCTTGGTCTATGATTTCCAAATTTCAGGAAATATATTATTCAATTACAAAATATAGGCAGGTAATTTTGTTTTTTTTTTTATTTAAATATGGTTTCGAAGTAAAAGTTCGAAGTGTGTCTCATTAATAGCTACACAATCTTACACGATACAAAAAACTAATTGGCTCTCGGCCATCCGTAGTTCAACATTTACAATCCCATTTCTCACAACCTCAAGAGATCTTTGGGCACAGGGTTACCAACCAATCAGAGTGCTAACTTTAATTTTTGATTTCCTAGTATTATGGAGTTCAAATTTCTCGTATATTTGCACCACAATCTCGTAGTACGTCGCTATATTAGCCACTAGAAGGTGTATATATCACCTAAAAACTATTATAATACAGGGTTATCGACTAATTATGGCACCAACTTAAATTTTTGATTTCCTAGTACAATGAGGCTTATATTTCTCGTATATTTGCATATATATTTATATTATATATATTTGATTTCCTGATACGAGAAACTTGAACTCCATATCAAGTTTCTCGTATATTTGCACCACAACCTGTTAGCAATTATATTAATAATTATATTAGCGATAGATATACTTTGAAATGTAGTGTAATGAAAACTAAATTCATAAATTTACATATGTCATAATCTCGTACAATGATTATGATGACCTCTGTAACTCGTGCATGGCGTGAATACTAAAAATCTTGTAAAGAAGGTGCGATACGAGATTTTTGGAAAAGGCTTGTACTGGCAGCCCTGTTTGGGCATTAAAACAAATGATCCGAAGAAATATAAAGAAAAAAAATCACCCTTTTCGGCAAGCTCTTTGTGTTAATTACCGCATTTGCTATCTTTTTCCCACTTGTAAAACTATACGTAAGAGGTTCCTTGTCGCACGTTTTACTCTCCCGTCTCTCGCCGGCGCCTACAAAGGTCGGGTCAAATCGTTTTGTTTTTTTTAATGTTTGTTTGTTTGTGTGCGCGTTGATTGCTCATGTCGGTAATAATAATGTTTAGGGCCAACTAATTGGTGTAAATTTTTATTGAAAATTATTGCCCGTTACGATGTGTCATTTGTTCGGCTTGAGGAGTTAATTTTACGTGTGAATATGGTATAATTTATATTCTATAATCAGTAATAATTTAACAAGTGACTATTTATATATTATTTGTGTCATTACGTGTACCACCTACTCTTTCTCTCATATCTTTATATTCTACCCAAAGATTGTCTGGAAGAAGTTGTTTACCAATAAAACGGCCTTTTGTATTAGTTTATTTAAAATTTTAAAGTCAAATCAAAAATATCTTTATTCATGAAGGTTTATTACAGGCTTTTATGATTTCTATGTTCATTCATTCATAATTTAAGAGCTACGCTCTTGTCGGTGGAGCTCTTGCTACTTTCTGCGATCTTCCATCATGCTCTTTAATTATTGATACGACACGACTCCCATTTTGTCCTCAATTTGTTTGATGTAGATATGCCTTGGTCTGATTGATGAGCCTTAGCTATGATTTCTATGTATGGTGCATTTAATGCATAAAATTGTACAATTTGGCCAACTTAATACCATATGGCATTCTCTACAATTAGGTAAATTCTTACCTAATTGTTAGCTGATAGAGAAAGCGGTTACTGGGCTGTGGGGGGAAATTAACCCATTATTTTACCTAACATATATACCTATAAGTATTATATATTGTTATTATTATTTGTAATAATCGATAAGAGATGTTAGAAAAAAGTAAAAATATTGTTTATTCGTAATGGGAAACTTAAGGATTGGAAAATTACAAACTCGTTAATTATATTCATGTTTATACATAGGTAACATATAAGGTAGATTTGATATTAGACTCCTGCCACGATGGATTCAAATATGATCTGAAAATGTGGGTATATCTAGTATTGGGTTTACTATGACTTTGCGAATCAGAAACTCCTCTGACAAACCATCATACAATACAATACACTAGTGTAAGTAGTTTTTCTTGATTTAATTTTCATAGATTACCTTTTAGTAGGTCTGTCTGTCTTAAATACCCGACTTATTAAGAGATTTTTAACCAAATTACTGTCTTGATCATCTGGATAAATAACGGTCTAGTTCTCCACCGTGCATTTTTCCAGAAACTCTTTAACACGCATTATGTGGAATCACCCTCCGCAATGGTATTTTCGAACCGATACAATATTGAAACATTCAAGAAGAGAGCTTATTCCTTCTTAAAGCAACACCCCTGGTGTTGTGAGTGCTCAGGCGACAGTAATCACTTATCAGATAAATCGCAAGTTTGTCCTCTATGATATAAAAAAAAATCTATTGCATTCTTACAAGGGACAAAGACTAATATAATA